CCATCACCATCATCCCCATCATCCCTATCACCATCATCACCATCATCACCATCACCATCACCATCATCCCCATCACCATCATCACCATCACCACCATCAGGGCATCGTAAAATGTGGGAAATGTGTGAGCCAGAATACAAGCACCTCGGGGCTGCTTGAGCCTTTCAAACCAGGGCTCTGGATGCCAGGCAAGGAGGCTGGAGAGCTAGGCAGAGGCTGGCTCCTGAAGGTGCTTGGGGTTCAAGGTCAGAGCTTGGACTTGACATAAGGACAATGGGAGGGCTTTAAACAGGGAAGGGATATGGTCTGATGATCACATTACCAGAATCCCTGAGTCTTTTGTTGGGATAACCAAGGTACCTCACAATAGAATCATCTCTAACTCCCACTGGCTTCCTGACTTGGCCCAAACTATTGACATTCCTTGTACATCCTCAGTGACCACTGCCACTGCTACTGCTACTTCTGAGTCATCATTATTATTGAGAGAAAGCTGAAGTAACCTGTTATAGCACCAGTTTTAGTGGCAGCGGTAACAGTTATTGGTAGTGTAATTTTTGTTGTCGACGTTTGTAACTCCCTCTGAGAGTGGGCTTTTGACTCCATGCTAAGAATCCAGACTTACCTTTCCAGGGCTGAGGTTACAGATTGGCAGCCCAAAGGCCTAATGGATTCTGCAAATGTGTTTTGTTAGCCGCAAACTGTGCCTTTTTTTAAAAAAAATGAGCTTCCATTTAAAATAGGAATAATTTACATAAAACTCTCAACTTCTATATTCACTTGAAAAATTAGAAGATACAGCACCACGGCACTATTCTGGAGACAAAACACTTGCTTCAGCCCATGCCCTTCAGTTGGTTGGTATTTTCTGAGTGCCTGACTGATACACACATTACGGTATCTGACTGGTTCGTGAAACCGTGTGAAATTGAGACTCCTGCTTCAGGCGAGGGAGAGGTGATGTGTGCAGGTGACGATTCTGCTCCCAGCAGAGCCCTGGGGAGCAGGCCGTCTCCCTCAGACGACCCCTTTCTGCTCTCTTGTGTTAGGGATGGCTGGTTACACAGGCGGGGTGGGGGGGGGGGGTGATGCAAGGGGCCGGTCGGGGGAGATGCATGACCTTGGGAGGGACAGTGACTTGGGCGCAAGAGAAAGATGTGTGTCCCAAGGTCAAAAACTCTGTCTCTCTCTCCTCTGATTTGTTCCTTCTCACCCTCCACCCGCCCCAAGATCGCGAAGCCGGCCCCGAAAGTCTCACCGCCACCATCATCACCACTGCGCCTCGCGATCTCAGAGTTCGGAGTCCCGCTCCTCAAGCTGTGACAGCAGGTAACCCCCTCCCTGAGACACCTCCTCACCCCGGCATCTGCCCAGAGTCCGTCTGAGATGCGGTCACCGTCAGCTCTGCCTCCCACTGTCACTGTTGGGGAGGCCGCTTTCCCAGCAGAGGGGCGCCCCCGCCTCGCCCTCAGGCTGTCTGCACTTCCCGGTAGAGAAGGGGCTGCAGACAGACGGACCCACTGCCCCGCCTACAGGACTTGCTAACACCGTGCTTCCGTGTCCAGGTGCTGAGCACTCTTCCTGATCCCCTGTGTGATCCCCTCTCCAGCCCTACGAAGGAGGCACTATTGTCATCCCCATTTTAGAGATGAGGAAACTGAGGCACAGAGAGGTTAAGGAACTTGCCAGGCACTTAGCTACTAAGTGACAGAGCTTAGGACTGAACTGGGGCATCTGGCTCTGCACTTGAGTGTCTCTCACTAAGGGTTGTTCTAAGCACAGAGAAGCTAAGTGACCTATGAAAGGCCACACAGCACAAGGTACCTAGCTCTGAGGCCCTTCCGAGTCTGGTTTCTCCTAACCTGGAACCTCTTTTTGCTGACACATTGGCTGCCCCGGCCTGAGAAGAGGAAGAGGTTCTTGTGGGTGAGGGGAGGGAGTGGGGCTTCGCTGATGCTGGCGTTTGACATTGTTGAGACCAGTGGGAACATCAAGGGCCCCCTGATGGTACCAGGCCAGCTTCCAGATGTCAGAGGCTCCTTTATTCTTTCTTAAGTGCTTCTCACACTTGGCTACGTGGTCATGTCACTTGGGAAGGTTTAAAAAAATCTCACTGTCCCGGTCCCACTGCATCCCAGTGAAGTCAGAACGTCTAGAGGAAAGAGGAGGAGAAATATGTCCCTAAATTCTACTCCGAGCCAGGCGCTGTGCTGCAGCTGCAAATACATTCTCTCTCTTAATCACCCCAGTCACACCATGAGCTAGACCAGAGCTTCTCCACTTTGGCTGCACTGTGGTCGCTTTGGAAGTTTTTAAAAATACCAGTGCCTGGATCCCAGCTCCACACATTCTGATCTAATCCAGATGAGGTAGGGCCAGGGCAGCGAGATTTTTACATCTCCCAGGTGATGTGAATGTGGAGCCAGGCGTAAAAGCGTTTGAACGGAGAAAGCAGTCCCTGGCGTCGAGTCCTGGAGCCTTGGTGTCCCCACTGGACAGCAGCAGCTTCAAAGGGCATCACCATCGCACAAGGCTGCTCTGTGAGCCTGAGTGGTCCAGACAACAGCAAGACCCTTCTGTAATCAGGTCCGAGCCCAGACAAAACAGGAACTTTGTCCAGAACCCAAAAGTAACCCAGCATCTCTCCATCCTGGCAAACGTGAGTGACTGCTGCTCCTTTACCAGTTATAGCCTTGACCTCAGACGCCCAGTCATAGAGTTACCTCCGCTTTCTGACAGCACCCAGTCCAGGCCGAAGCCAGCTCTCTGCGTGCTCCCAGAGTCCCCGACCATGTGCTCATAATAGGTTCTCTCTCTAACACCCTCAGACAGAGACGTCCTCCACTCCCCTGTGACGCGCATTCCCTGCCACTGCAGGGAGCAGTAACGATGCTTGTTCAAGTACAGGGCGCCCCCAGTGGGCTTTATCTGGAGGGTGTTGACGCACTGAGCTCAACTGCATTACAGACATTTACAGCCGAGAAACCTGCGTGTTGGTGGGCAAAGGGGTCCGAGCAAGGTCACGGTGACTGGCAGAGCTGACACCAGGACCCAGGTCTGTGTGACTCAGCCTGAGGCCTGGGCTGGAGGGCGGTGCAGGGCCTGCTTGTTGACTCTCGGCGCGCCCCACTCTACCTTCTCCGAAGCTTACCTCTTTGGGAGAGGGCTCACATCGCAGCCCTGGCCCCAGCCCTCCTGCTGCTGTCACATCTCCCGCTGCTGTTGCCGCCCGAGCTCCCCAGTGCCTGTTGGGCTGAGAGGCACTACAGCACGGGTGGGAGCAACCTGAGAGCTGGCCCTCGGGCCACACACTCAGTAGAAAAGTGACCTGGAGGGCCCAGAGCAGAGAGGGACACTCCAGCGCAAGAACCAAAGGCATTGGTTCCCACGGGGACCCTCGTTCCACCACTTACAAGCTGTGTGACCTCAGGCAGCTCCCTAAACATCTCTGAGCCTCAGCTCTCTCATCTGAAAATAAGAAAGTAATATCTGCCCCGTGTATGTCTTCAAGTTGTAGAGGGGACTGTGAAAGCACCTGAAGAGGGGCTTACAGGTGCCGTGCAAATCCACAAGGTGTTATTTTCATCACTGCTGTGACTCAGAGCTCACAGGTAATGCAGAGTCCAAACACACCCTCTCTCAGGAGTCAGAGATTCCTTTGGTTTCCACTGCAGACAGGCTTGCAGAGGCATCTTTGTCGTTGTTGTCAGATATTTTCTTTTTAAGTTTTGGGTGACAGTCAATAAGATGCCTCTGTTTCACAGATGGTAAAGTCACATACACAAAGACACACAAATATAAGCAGCTACATTTATAGACAAACACATGAAAACACAGATGGACACACCCAGACATACACACAGTCACAGACACAGGCAAGCAGATAGACAATCACACAGGCACACAACTACATCAAGATAGGGACCCTTCCTGTCTTCACAGCTGCATCCCCGGCCCCCGCAGCACTGCCAGGTACACGAATAAACATTTGTCAAATGAACAAATGAGAGAATCAATGAATGGATGGGTGGGTGTGTGGATGGCTGCACACGTAATTCATACAGACACACCCAAACACGCTCTGTTGCCCTCAGATCCTATTGGTCCTTCAGTCACCTCTCTGCCATGCTCTCCATCAAAAGACCCTCAGCTTTCTCTCTCCTGCACCCAGGCACCGTGGCCAGTCCCCCGAGGAAGGGCGGAAGTCCCGCCGAAGGCACTCTCGCCGCTGCTCCAAGAGCTTCTGCAAGGCCAGCCCTGAGGCCCGGTCCAGCCCCGCGCCCAGCCAGCCCCTGCAGATGCTCAGCTTCCTGTCGGCCAGGGGTGTAGTAAGTATTCCGCACAGCCTCCTCTGCCGCTCTTGGCCGTGACACTTGGAGGGGGTGGAGGCACAAGTTCAGGGCAGTGTATGACACATTTTAATTCAGTTTCGGGCAAATAATCCGACTGGTTTCAGACCTCCTTATTGATTAACCAGATGGTCATTCACCAGCCTTTGGCAGCACTCGGCTTGGGAAGTGGGAGCTTGGGGGGACGGGAAAAACCCGAAGCCCCCGGCTCTTTGTCAGGGGAACTTCGAAGGTACATATTGGCCTCCAGAGTGACATCTGCAGGAAAGCATGTATGAGACACCACAGGAGGTTTCTTTGCGAAGGAAGGAAAAGAGGGGGTCTTTGAGGCAGCAGAGGCACTGCAGCTTTGCGGTGACGTCTGCATCTTTGACAGCTAGGCTGCAGCACTGACGAGCAGCTGGGGTTTGATTTCACCTGTGTAAGCTCGGCCTTGAATGTATGCGAGAATTTTCCTCCAAGGAGCTGATAGCACTCGGCCTCTTGTGTCCACACAAGATCTCAGGGAGCTGGGATGCAGCTGCCCTCACTAGTCCCTTCCACAGGTGGGACAGAAAAGCCGCTGCTCAGAAGGGTTAAGGTCTGGAGTGAAGCCACTGAGTGAAGCAAGAGCGAATCCAGTCGAGGAACCCGGCCTTGAATGGGATCACGCAGCAGTCCCTCAGGTCGAGAAGGAGGGCTGGAATAGAACTTCAGGCAGTTCGATGCCAGGAAGTTTGCTGAGCAAGGGATTTGGAGTTGGGTCTGAACTCAACTTCCTAGCTGTGTGGCTTTGAGAAAGTCACTTAACCTCTTTGAAACTCAGTTTTCTCATTGGTAACTTTGAAATAATATCACTTCCATGTGGGATTGTTGGGGATATCCAATAACAGAAATTATGTGAAGGCCTTTTGTAGACTCTAAAGGGACAGACACACAAATAGGAGGAGATTCCACACAGACGTACCCTATGCTTAACAGCTAACAGCTGGGAAGGGACCTGTCTCCTCTAGCTAGGCATAAATCTGAAAATTTCAGAGAGCTGCTCCCTTAGAAAGGATGAGGTGGAAGTAAGGAATAGCTCAGGGGTTCTTGCTGAGAGGTCAAGGAAGAGAAGGTGATGAAGCACTGGTTGGGTCTGGTTGACACAACAGTTATATCTCCAGTGCATTCTGGGAAACTCTTCTTTACCAGTAAAGGCACCATGTATCACCAAGGTCTACTTTTGCCCAAATCTTCTACCTAGCTGGAACCATCCACAACTCACCTCAGGGCCTTCCTTTGTAGAGATACCTGTAGTTGCTCAGTATTTGCAGATGGTAAATGCTCACTTGCATTCTCCCCTCCGCGAATGTCCTATGAAAGGTCTTTCCAGTAAGGCAGAGAGTCCGGAGGCCTGGGGGCAAGTCTTGGCTTGGCAGGACAAATCCTTTTACCCCTCCCAGCCTCAGCTTCCTCAACTGGAAAATGAGCATGATTATCCCATTTGTGTCCCAAAGGAATTGTTGCAAAGGTAGAAATAAATTTAAAATACAAGCAATAAGAGGTGGAAGAATGGTTTTAAGTTGGTAAAAGCCACCCCGTCTCCCTGGTCATGGTATTTATGGCAGCCCATTCGGTGGCCCTAACTGACCCTCATTAAAAAGTGCCATTGGGAGCAACTGGCTTGTGTTCTCTCACCTGGGATGGTTTCCTAACCAGTCAGGTGCAAGGTGTTGCAAAAAGCCGAATGTTGACTCCCCCCCACCCCAAAATTGTGGTCCTCCCACACCAGTGAGTGAGGTACCAGATTGGCTGTTGGTTCTTAGGGCCCAGCTGCTATTAGAAGAGCAGAAAGCTCATCCGTACCTAGAAGACAGAGGCCTTAAGAGCTCACCTAATCCAATACCCTGATTTCAAACAGAGAACCTGGACTCACAGGAGAAAAATGACCTCCACGGGCTATGGCAGGTTGGAGTTGTTAAAAACTTGGGACTATGTTTATGTGGTCAAATCCTGGCTGCGAGCTGGGGATAGTTATTTAAACCTTTTTGAGCTGCAGTTTCCTCATCTGTTAAAAAAAAATTGCAGATAATAAACCTCTTCTTCAAAAGCCTTGTTTTGGGGACAGAAGCAGAGTAATTTTGTACATAGTCGAGCCCAGTGCTCGGCACAGGGACAGAGATCAGCAAATAGAAGCAGGTGTTGTGATGAAAACATTCCAGATGCTGGCTCTGTACTTCCCAGCCGTGGAATCTTGAGCAAGTTACACAAACTCTCTGTGCCTCAGTTTTCTCCAAATCTGCAAAACGAGGAAAATAATAAGACCTACCTCATAAGAGGAATGTTGGGAGCATGCAATGACTCAACGTAAGTAAGACTTTCAGACTGTAACAGGCACGTGGTAGGTGCAAGGTTGCTGGCGGTGGATAGAAGCAGCAGCAGGATTAACCATGGAAGTAGTAATGGTAGTAGCAACAACAGTAGTGGAGTAGTAATAGTAGAATGGTTCCAGGCCCAGGCTAGTCTGTGGGTGAGTGGAGACCACAGCTAGAAGCCCTGCTTCCCCTGCTTTCAGTTTCCTCCCATCCTCAATGGCAGCTGCAGCCCAAATGGCTAGCCCCACCCTGCCCGTGGCTGCCTGACTCCTGGGGCATCAGACGCCCCCCAAGTCTGGTCCTCTGGGTGCTCTCCATGCTGGGCTCTTTCTCATCCTCTCTCCTGCACAGGCAGGGATGGAAGAGGATACCAGGTTGGACCAAAGGTTTTCCAAGAGTCCTGGCCCCAAGATCTTTTTGAGCTCTCTGCTGAAGAGAACAGCACAGTCATTGTCATTCCATCACTTGTTCAAATCTACCAGTTATCTACTAAGCATCTATAAAGGGTCAGCTCTGATGTGGCTCTCAGGATCCAGTGAATAAGAAACAGCCTGTGCTTTCTTAAAAGGAAGACAGACAAGGTAAAAATTGTAAAGGGCAATGCACAACAGTGAATGCTGAGATGGGACAGGAGGTAGGCAGGCAGGGAGGGGAATTGGGGTTAGGGTTAGGTTAGGGCAGAGGAGCTGACAACTGAGAAACTAGCCCGTGGAAGCAGGAAACAAAGGCTGGAGTCAGGATGGAGAAAGAATTCCAGGGCAGGAGATGGGGTTCTGGGGGTTCTGGAGGTGAACAGGAGCCCAAGCGTGAGGGGTCTCCTATGCCATGGTTCCTGCCACACTCCATGGTGGGCATCCCATATGCAGAGCTCTTTAAAAATCAGGGACGGGCACATTACACCAAGGGGGCCTGTTTGCATACATGAATATGCAGAAGTGGGTTGTATCTTGTTAAAATCCTAGTTGGTGAGCTGAAGATAACCTGAAGCCCTCTTTCTTGGTCAAAGCCCAAATCCAAATGGAGGGTCCCAAGGAGTGAATCCTTCATGGCCTCATTCGTTCCTTATCTACACTCAGTCAACTCTGTTCAAGGTGTTAGGGAGACAGAGAGATGTATAAACAGGCTTCCTGAATTCCAGAGCTCACCATCTAGCCGTCAACGGAAGGCTGCAATACAGTAGGATAAGCGTTGTCATTAGGGCTGAGACTGAGTTGGTGAACACTAGTACTCCTCCACTGTTCAAATATTCAAATACTTGCACACCAGTTGATAAACAGACCCTGTCACCACCCATCCCCCAGTCAACAAAGCCATCCCTTCCCTTCTCTGGTACCTTCTGGACCTTCTCACAGTCCAGCAGATAAACGGTGATACCTGGCAGCCCTTCAGTGCCAAGGCCAGCTACCTGCAGGTGGGGCAGTAGCCACACTCAACCAGTTGTTGAATATTTTGAATATCACCCCTGGAGGTGACGGAAGCAAGTACAATATGTAGTAGGACCACAGAGGAAGGACCAATGTCTAAGAGATCTTGGTGTCTGAGAGGACTTTACAAATAAAGGAACATGTGAGCTGGGCTTTGAAGGATGAGTAGGAGTTCACCCAATTGAGATGGCTACTGAGATAGCTAAATAGCACTGTGTGCCAGGCACTGTCACATACTATACACAGTTTTTTTTTTCTCATTTGATTCACAAAACAGTTCTTTGAAGTAGATGCCATCATTATCACCATTTTTCAGATGGCAAAACTGAGGCTCAGAGAGGTGAAGTGACTTAGGTCAGTAGCCCAATGAGTAGGAAGGGGAGCTGGTATGAATCATGGCTTGTATCTCAGAAGCTTACTGTGATAGCCAGAGGGCCTATTGGATGACAGAGAGGTTGGTGGCCCCAAGGTCTGGCCACGCCCTGTTCTGTAGCAGGGGCTCCTCTGTGAGGTCTATCCTAATTGGAGGGGGAATCTAAAGAGGGCTGATCAAGACTGAAATTAGACCCAGGAGAGGGCAGTCTCCTCCTTTCTCCTCCTTCTGCCTCTAGCAAGCCAACAGCTGCCACATAACCCTTGCCAACAAAAATCTGCACAGATACGGCAAAAAAAAAAAAGGCAAAGCTTGGGCTCCGTAAAAGAGGACCTCATGAAACTTGTGAATAGTAGGAAGCAGGAGGTGACAGTGATGAAGGCAGGAGCTTTGAAGCAGATTCGGATACTCCAGAGTTCTTGATTTCATCTCCCTATGAGACTGGATAACAGCCGTAACTCATGCTTCCTGAGCACCTACTATGTGCGAGGTGCTAGGCTGAGTTCTTTACATGTGTCACCTCATGCATTTCTTATAATAGCCTTTCAGGGGATCTTCCGCTAGTTTCCTCATTTTACAGTGAGGAAACTGCAGCCTAGAAAACTTAAGAAAAAGGCAGCTGTTAAATGGAGAAGTTAGGATTCCAACCCAGAAAGTCTACCCTCAGAGTCCAGGTGCTTAATTACTTGACTTCCCTTGTGTCATTTCACTTCGCTGGGCCTCTGTGTCCTCATCTGTACCTTTAACTAATAAGCATACTTACTGCACAGAATGGTTGTGAGGGTGGAGTGAGATAAGGTATCCATTCATTTATAAGATATGCATTAAGCCCCTACTATGTGCCAG